TTTGGGAGTCATGTGCGCATGGGCTGCAGTGGTTCACAAAAGCAGCTCACCACTGCTTTCTCAAGAGCAACTAGTGATGGACAATAAATGCTGGCCAGCCAGTGATGCCCACGATCCATGTGTCAATAAAAAACATTTGATGGGGATCTCTGAATTTAGTAAGAGGAGGGGCAGAAAGGTCAGTGATAGGTGTTAGGAAATTGATGAGAATGAGGGTAAATCCACAGGATCTGATAAACTAGATTCAAGAGTACTTAATGGCTTAATAGCATAGAAAATCATATATCCAAATATGCTGATGAATCATAGTTAGGCAGCATTGAAAGTGTGGACGATAGTACAAAAATTAAAAATTTCATGTCATTATTTACCACGGGGAGAAAAAAAAGCTAGGCAACTCAGGAAATAAATAGTTATGTCTTGAAAAGAATCCACTTTACAGAAAAGGAAGTATTAGACGTCTTAAAATGCTTAGAAGTGGATAAATCCCTAGGACCTGATCAAGTGCAGCCCAGGACATCATGGGAAGTTAGGGAAGAAATTACGGGGCCCCTAGTAGAAGTATTTATATCATCCACAGCCACGGGTGAGGTGCTGGAAGACTGGAGGGTGGCTAATGTTGTGCCATAATTTAAGAAAGGCTGCAAGGACAAGCCAGGGAACTATAGACTGGTGAGCCTAACATCAGTTGTTGGAGGGGAATCTGAGAGACAGGATTTTCATGCATTTGAAAAGGCAAGTTCTGATTAGGGATAGTCAGCATAGCTTTGTGTGTGGGAAATCCTGTCTCACACACTTAATTGGGTTTTTTGAAGAAGTGACCAAGAAGATAGATGAAGGCAGAATGATGGACATTGTCTACGTGGACTTTAGCAAGGCCTTCAACAAGGTTTTGCGTTGTAGACTAGTTAGTAAGGTTAGATCATACAGAATCCGGGGAAAACTCGCCAATTAATTTAAAATTGATTTGACGGTAGGAAACAGAGGGTAGTGGTAGAGGGTTGTTTTTTTGGACTGGAGACCTGTGCTGCAAAGATCAGTGCTGGGTACACTACTGTTTGTTATTTAAATAAACAATTTGGATGCGAATATAGGAGGCATGGCTAGTGCGTTTGCGAATGACACCAAGATTGGTTGTCAAGTGGACAGTGAAGAAGGTTAGAGATAACAAGGTGTAGAGCTGGATGAACACAGCAGGCCAAGCAGCATCAGAGGAGCAGGAAGGCTGATGTTTCGGGCCTAGACCCTTCTTCAGAAAGTGAAGAAGGTTAACTAAGATCAGTAGGTCAAGGAATGGCAGGTGGAGTTTAATTCAGATAAAGGTGAGGTGTTTTATTATGGAAAGACAAACCAAACAGGATTTGCACAGATAATGGTAGGGCCTTGGGGAGTGTTGGCGAACAGACACACCCCTGGGTGCGGGTACATAGCTTCTTGAAAGTGGCGTCACGGGTAGACTGGGTGGTGAAGAATGTGTTTGGAACACTTGCCTTCGTTGGTCGGAGCATTGAGTACAGAAGTTGGGATATCATATTACAGGTGTACAGGACAGTGGTAAGGCCATACTTGGTGTACTGTATGCAATTCTGATCACCCTGCTATAGGAAAGATGTTATTAAACTGGAAAGGGTGCAAAATAGTTTGACAAGGATGTTGCTAGGACTGGAGAGTTTGAGTTATAAAGAGAAGCTAGATAGGCTGTGACTTTTATTCCATGGAGCAAAGGAGCTTGAGGGGTGACCTTGTAGAGATTTATAAAATCATGAGGGGCTTGGATAAAGTGAAGAGCCAAAGTCTTTTCCCCAAGGTGTGGGTGTCCAAAAGTAGGGGGCATAGGTTTAAGATGAGAGGGGAAAGATTTTAAAGGATTAAAAAAGATTTAAAACTTTTTCCACACAGAGATGGTGCAAAAATGGAAAGAACTGCCAGAGGAAGTGATAGAGGCTGGTACGATTATAACATTTAAAAGAGATCTGGACAGTTATCTGGATTAGAAAGGTTTAGAGGAATATGGGCCAAATGCCAGCAAATGGGACTAATTCAGTTTAGGGAACCTCATGCAGAGGATAGTGAGTATATGGAATGAGCTGCCAGAGGAGGTGGTAAAGGCAATTACAACATTTTTAAAGGCTTTTGGATGGATATATGATTCAGTAGTATTTAGAAGGATATGGGCCAAATACAGGCAATTGGGACTAGATTAATTTAGGATCTGGTTTGCATGGACAAGTTGAACCGAAAATTCATTTCATCCTTGTACGTCTCTATGACTATAAGTGTGAAGTTATCCATTTTGGACTGAGAAAGTATACATCAGGGTGTACTTCCTTGAGGGATGAAGTTAAATTCCATGGCTGTCCAAAGAGACTTGGGATTCAGGTACATAGATCTTTAAAATGTCACGAACAGGTGCAGAAAATAATCAAGGCAACTAATGGAATGCTGGCCTTTATCTCTAGAACTGGAGTATAAGGATGCAGAAGTTATGCTGCAGATTTATAGAACCTTGATTGGATCCCTTTGGAGGACTGTGAACTAATCTGGACACCACACCTTAGGAAAGATATATTGGGAAAAGTATAATGTAGGTTTACAAGAACAATTCCTGGATGTAAGGGATTAGGGTATGAGCACAGATTGTACAAATTAGGCTTGTTTTCTGTAGAATTCAGTAGATTAAGGTAATTTGATCAAAGTCTTCAAGGTATTAACAGGAAAAGACAGTGTAGGTAAAGATAAACTATTTCTACTTGTTGGAAATCTTAGAACTAGGGGATATGGTCTAAAACTTGGGGTCAGACCATTCAGGAGAGATGTTGGATGCATGTCTACACACATTAGTAATGTTTTAAACTCTCTTCCACAAATGACAGTTGACACTAAATCAGTTGTTAAGTTTAGATCCAGGATAAATAAATGCTTAATAAGCAAAGTATTAAGCCAAAGGCAGGTATATGGAGTTAGGACACAGGTCACCCATGATATCATTGAATGGTGGAACAGGCTTGCAGAGTTGAGTGGCTTACTTCTGTTCCTATGTTTCTATGCAAAGGACGTCGTCGTAGAAAAGGTGGATACATTAGCGGTCATCTTCCAAGATTCTATAGACTCTATTACAGTTCCTGTAGATTGGTGGTTACTTAATGTGACCCCTCTATTTAAGAATGGAAATAGGAAGAATAAGCTTTTAAAGACCAGTCAGGCCGGCATTGATTGTGGGGTAAATAATAGAATCAATTACGTAGGGTTTAATAGTAGAGCGCTTGGAAAACAATGATTGGATTGGACTGAGTCAGCGTGGATTTACCAAAGAGAAATCATGTTTAACAAATCTACTGGAATTTTTTGAGGACTAGTAGAGTTGATGGGGTGGGGGGGAGCCAGTGGATGTGGTTTATTTTGACTTTCAGAAGGCTTTTGACAAAGTCAAACATAAGGAATTATTGTATCAAATCAAAGTGTGTGGTATTGGGCATAATGTATTGAGATGGATAGAAAGCTGGTTGGCAGACAAAAACATTGAGTAGGAATAAATGGATCTTTTGCCAAATGGCAATCACTCATGGAGTATTCCAGGGACCAATGCTAGGACTCCAGCTGTTTACAACATATATTAATGGTTTAATGAATAAATTAATTATCTGAATTCCTATTATCTCAATTACTGTAAATTGAGAGAGGGGAATGTGCTACGAGTCTTTAGTGTCCTCATACACCAGTTGCTGAAGATGAGCATGCAGGCTCAGCAGGCAGTCTAGAAGTCAAACAATATGTTGACCTTTATTGTAAAAGGATTTGAGTACAAGAGCAGGGCTGTCTTGCTGCGATTGTACAGGGTCTTTGTGAGACCACACCATGAAATATTGTGTGCAGTTTTTGTCTCCTTATCTGAGGAAGGTTCTTGCTATTGAGGTAGTGCAGCAAATGTTTACCAGACTGAATCCTGGGACGGGAGGGCTGATAGCTGAGGAGACTTCCAATCGGTTAAGATTATATTCGCTTCACCCAAAGAGTGGTGAGCCTGTGGAATTCATTACCACGGGAAGTAGTTGATGCCAAAATATTGAATGTATTCAAGAGGCAACTAAATATAGCACTTGGGGTGAATGGGATCAAAGGTAATGGAGAGAAAGCAGGATTAGGCTATTGAGTTGGGCATTCAGCTATGGTCATGAAGAATGGCAGAGCAGGCTCAAAGGACCGCATGGCCTCCTCCTGCTCCTGTCTTCTATGTTTCTATGGCATTCAGAAGAATTATGCGGGGTGGTGGATCTCATTGAAATCTATTAAATTCTGACAGGTCTAGAAAGGGTATTTGGAGGAAGGATGTTTTTAGATGGCCAAGGAGTCGAGAACCAGGGATCACAGTCTAACGAAATGGTGTAAACTATTTTGGATTAAGATGAGGAGAAATCTTTTTGCCCAGAGAGTGACATGGCTTGTGGAATTCTCTGCCACAGAAGGCATTTGAGGCCAAAACATTGTATCATTTCAAGAAGATATTAGATGTAGCACTTGGAGCTAAAGGAATCAAAAGGAAATGGGAGAAAAACGGGAACAGACTTTTGAGTTGGATTACGGGAGGCTCCAAGTTATACAATCAAATATATACCAGTGCTAATTTTGCAGATTGTGGTCCATGACAGGGCCCAGATATTAATTCAAGCTTCTCATATAAATTTTGAGTTTGACACTTTAGTTCTATTGATTACAGTGTTAGGATTTTAAATGTTCAGTTTGTCATCTTATTACACAAGTGTTACGTTCAAAGTCTCACTGTATATACACCAGATAAGTTTTGTATCTTGCATGATATCACAGCTATGTAGGAAATTGTTTCATAATATGATTTATATTAGAAATTGTGTAGAACATAGTCCTCACATTGATTAAAAGGATTGAGAACAATGTTTTCTACTTCTGGGGTAAATGTCTCTTACAGTGACTCAATCTTGACTGTAATACTTAAAAACATTATTCTGTGTGTTTGTTCCCGGCAGGGGGTGAGCCAATTTGGATTCCTTATACATTCAAGTTTGAACCTTCTTCAAGTGAATGCACAGGAAAACAATATGTGAAGCGTACTTGGTACCGCAAATTTGTGGGTGTGATACTCTGCAACTCATTGCGGTACAAAATCTTCCTGTCTGAAGGCTTAAGAGGTAAGTGGCCAACAAACATACGCAATTCTGTCATGTAGCCAGTTATGCTTTCTGCATCCTCATGCACTTGTGCATTTAGATAAAGTTGGCATGTTGCATAAATGGGTACAAATATAAATAATAATTTGCCTACAGACTCATGCATGAATGCACACATATGAAAGTGTAAATACAAGTATATATATGTGTGGACATACAGATGTCTACGTATACATCACTCATACATGTTCATCAGAATCATAAAATGCTTACAGAATAGAACAAAGAACAAAGAAAATTTGCAGCACAGGAACAGGCCCTTCGGCCCTCCAAGCCTACGCCGTTCCAGATCCTCTACCTAAACCTGTCGCCTATTTTCCAAGGATCTGTATCCCTCTGCTCCCTGCCCATTCATGTATCTGTCTAGATACATCTTAAATGAAGCTATCGTGCCCGCCTCTACCACCTCCGCTGGCAATGCATTCCAGGCACCCACCACCCTCTGCGTAAAGAACTTTCCACGCATATCTCCCTTAAACGTTTCCCCCTCGCCTTGAAATCGTGACCCCGAGTAAGTGAGTCCCCCACTCTGGGAAAAAGCTTCTTGCTATCCACCCTGTCTATACCTCTCATGATTTTGTAGACCTCAATCAGGTCCCCCCTCAACCTCCGTCTTTCTAATGTAAATAATCCTAAGCTACTCAACCTCTCTTCATAGCTAGCGCCCTCCATACCAGGCAACATCCTGGTGAACTTCCTCTGCACCCTCTCCAAAGCATCCATATCCTTTTGGTAATGTGGCGACCAGAACTATATGCAGTATTCCAAATGTGGTCGAACCAAAGTCCTATACAACTGTAACATGACCTGCCAACTCTTGTACTCAATACCCCATCCAATGAATGAAAGCATGCCATATGCCTTCTTGACCACTCTATCGACCTGCGTTGCCACCTTCAAGGTACAGTGGACCTGAACACCCAGATCTCTCTGTGCATCAATTTTCCCCAGGGCTTTTCCATTTACCGTATAGTTCGCTCTTGAATTGGATCTTCCAAAGTGCATCACCTCGCATTTGCCTGGATTGAACTCCATCTGGCATTTCTCCGCCCAACTCTCCAATCTATCTATATTCTGCTGCATTCTCCGACAGTCCCCTTCACTATCTGCTACTCCACCAATCTTAGTGTCATCTGCAAACTTGATAATCAGACCATCTATACCTTGCTCCAGATCATTTATGTATATCACAAATGACAGTGGTCCCAACATGGATCCCTGTGGAACACCACTGGTCACAGTTCTCCATTTTGAGAAACTCCCTTCCACTACAACCCTCTGTCTCCTGTTGCCCAGTCAGTTCTCTATCCATCTAGCTAGTACACCCTGGACCCTATGCGACTTCACTTTCTCCATCAGCCTACCATGGGGAACCTTATCAAACACCTTACTGAAGTCCATGTACATGACATCCACAGCTCTTCCCTCATCTATCAACTTTGTCACTTCCTCAAAGAATCCTATCAAGTTGGTAAGACATGACCTTCCCTGCACAAAACCATGCTGCCTATCACTAATAAGCCCATTTTCTTCCAAATGTAAATAGATCCTATCCCTCAGTATCTTCTCCAGCAGCTTCCCCACCACTGACGTCAGGCCCACCGGTCCATAATTACCTGGATTATCTTTGCTACCCTTCTTAAACAAGGGGACAACATTAGCAATTCTCCAGTCCTCCGGAACCTCACCCGTGCTCAAGGATGCTGCAAAGATATCTGTTAAGGCCCCAGCTATTTCCTCTCTCGCTTCCCTCAGTAACCTGGGATAGATCCCATCCAGACTTGGGGACTTGTCCACCCTAATGCCTTTTAGAATACCCAACACTTCCCCCTCCTTATGCTGACTTGACCTAGAGTAATCAAACATCTATCCCTAACCTCAACATCCGTCATGTCCCTCTCCTCGGTGAATACCGACGCAAAGTACTTATTAAGAATCTCACTCATTTTCTCTGACTCCTCGCATAACTTCCCTCCTTTGACCTTGAGTGGGCCAACCCTTTCTCTAGTTACCCTCTTGCTTCTTATGTACGAATAAAAGGCTTTGGGATTTTCCTTAACCCTGTTTGCCAAAGATATTTCATGACCCCTTTTAGCCCTCTTAATTCCTCGTTTCAGATCGGTCCTACTTTCCCAATATTCTTCCAAAGCTTCGTCTGTTTTCAGTCGCCCTGACCATATGTATGCTTCCTTTTTCCTCTTTGCTAGTCTCACAATTTCACCTGTCATCCATGGTTCCTTAATATTGCCCTTTCTATCCCTCATTTTCACAGGGACGTGTCTGTCCTGCACTCAAATCAACCTCTCTTTGAAAGCCTCCCACATATCAAATGTGGATTTACCCTCAAACAGCTGCTCCCAATCCACAGTCCCCAGGTCCTGCCGAATTTTGCTATAGTTGGCCTTTCCCCCAATTTAGCACTCTTCCTATAGGACTTGTCCATGAGTATTCTAAAACTTACAGAATTGTGATCACTATTCCCAAAGTAATCCCCTACTGAAACTTCAACCACCTGGCCAGGCTGATTCCCCAACACCAGGTCCAGTATGGCCCCTTCCCGAGTTGGACTGTTTACATACTGCTCGAGAAAACCCTCTTGGATGCTCCTTACAAGTTCTGCTCCAACTAAACCCCTAATACTAAGTGAATCCCAGTCAATGTTAGGAAAATTAAAATCTCCCATCACCACCACCCTGTTGCTCCTACGTCTTTCCATAATCCGTCTAAATATTTGTACCTCTATGTCACGCTCGCTGTTGGGAGGCCTGTAGTACAGGCCTAACATTGTTTCTGCACCCTTCCTATTTCTGAGCTCCGCCCATGTTGCTGTCCTGCTCGAGTCCTCCACAGTGCTCTCCTTCAGCACAGCTGTGATATCTTCTTTGACCAGTAATGCAATTCCTCCACCCCTTTTACCTCTCTCTCTATCCTGCCTGAAGCATCTATATCCTGGGATATTTAGTTGCCAATCTTGCCCTTCCCTCAACCAAGTCTCAGTAATAACAATAACATCATACTCCCAGGTACTAATCCAAGCCCTAATTTCATCTGCCTTACCTACCACATTTCTCGCATTAAAACAAATGCACCTCAGACCACCTGTCCCTTTGCGTTCATCATCTGCTCTGTGCCTACTCTCCCCCTTATTCACACTGACTTCATTATCTAGTTCCTTACAGACTTTAGTTACTACCTACTTACTGTCCACTAACCTCCTCATTTGGTTCCCATCCCCCTGCCACGTTAGTTTAAACCCTGCCCAACAGCGTTAGCTAGACTAAGTACGTTTGCCCCGTTGTATCTGTGCCAGCTCCACGTAAAAGCACCCTGGCTGGTCCCTTTTTAATCTGTCTCCATTTTTTTATTCGTGTCGCTCTTCAAATTTTCTCTCTTCAGATAAATCTCAAATTATTTAGAAAGCACAATTAATTCTGCCTCCACCACACACTCAACATGCACATAACCTAACTATTTGCAACATTTTTTTTGCCCATTCGCCTTAAATCTGTGTCCACTGATTCTTGCCAAAGGGAACAATTTCTGCTTATCTTTTTTATCCAGACCCCACATAATTTTAAATATGTTTGTCAAATCCCTTCTAAATCTTCTCCAAGAATAGCCTAGGTGCTTCAATTTATCCACATAGCTGAAGTGTCTCATTCCTCAAGACATTGTCAATAATCGTCTCTACGTCATCTCATAACCTTCCTAAAGCTTGGTGCCCAAGATTTCAGGATGTTTCCCTCCCTCCGATTCCATCTCCCAGTTTGAAGTCAAAGTTCCATTCTTTCAAAACACTTACATAGATAATGGGTGTACAGGCCTTCAGAAAACTCCCAGAGGTCATGAGCTAACAAAGTGTGGAGCTGGAGGAACACAGCAGGCCAGAGGCAGCATCATAGGAGCAGGAAAGTTGATGTTTTGGGTCAGGACCCTTAAGGTTTGTGACATTAACCTCTATCTTGTCTTGATCCCTGGTTTAGAAATGCTGATACGTTTGGGAAAAATAAAAGATGTAACTGTAGTTTTAAAGGAGTTCTACACCATACAAAAAAATACAAGTTTATTAAGATCTCTAATTTCTGACATGTAGGGGTGACCCACCAAAGCTAGAAAATTAACATTAAAATGTAAATAGGAAATTCAAGATGCTTTTTTAACCTGAGAATGATGAGCATGTGATAGTACCGCAAAGTAAATACCATATATGAATTTGATAAACACACCAAATAAACACATGAGAGAGTGGATATCCTGATAGGTTAGATGAAGAAATATGTTCTCCTGTGAAACAGAATCATTGGCAAAGATCAATTGAACCAAATAACCCATTTCCATTCTGTAGACTCCTAATTTTATTAGAAGGTAACTAAAGTCATGAAGTGCAACAAAATCTTCTTGAGTTCAAGTAAATAAATAGAAACATTTACATAGCAGAGGGAGAAATAAATGAGTAATCAAAGTTTCATTACAACTGAAAGATTAATAACCCTGAACATTTCATCTAATTTAGGAAAACGTGTCCTTTTGCCTCTTCCTGTTGGCATCATGTTTGTCTTTTTCTCTCTTGGGATTCTTATGTTGTAATAAATGATCGGAGTTTCCTGCTGGAATTCTTCTGTTCATGCACTACCAGATAGTGCAGATTCTGCCAGACTTCACAGCTGCATTTGGAAAGGCAAACTTAAAGGAGCTGTAAGGAAATGGAGAGTTACATGAAGGAATGAGGAATATATGGCTGAATATGCATGGCCCCATATCTTTTTGAGCTGAATCTGATTGATATAGATTATCGTCATAGCCACATACAGAAAGGAGCCTGGCGCTACATATGTCAGTGATTTTTTTTAATGCATCCATTGTACTTGCATCCGACTGCCAGGTTTCCCAACCAATTGAAATGAGTGGTCACCATGATGATTTGTATCAACCTATTTCAGTTCAGCAATAAACGGGGCCTTGAGAGGATCAGAGCTGAAGTATGGTATTGACCTCCAGACAGAGCCTGAAGCTACAGAAAACAAGATTTAACATTGAAGGCTACAACATGATCCCAGCAATCATTCTGAGCAGGACGCTGTGGGCTGCAAGAGCCACAGGAGATCCTGTTTCCTGCAAGTGGAAGAAGGAGCTGCATTCAAAAAGAAGGCGGCATTGTTGGAAGTGACTTGGTAGGTCAGCAGCAGGAGTGTGGTGCCATGCTCCTGGATACAGTACAGAAGAAAAAAATCAATGGCCTGTTCCGGATAACAAAGGTTAGTGGCATCAACTCCATCATCATGCTGCTGTTCCTAAAGCTTCAGCTGAATTCCTGATACAAACTCATCTCGTAGGTGCACCTGATCTCTCTTCACATTCCCATCTCATCATTCGTCACTATCTGTAATGGAATGTCACACTTATCTCTGAAAATAACCTTTCACAAATATTCCCCTTTCATTCTCTGAAAGCATTCAATGTGCTGTATTTAGAAGCCTTCTCTCTCTCCTTTTAAGTAAGCACAGAACACGGGGAAGAGGTAATGAATTAGTTCCAACCATGTCTACTTTGACAACTGCAGGGGAAGCAGTTTTGGAGAAAAGCTAGGTCTGGCATTCCTGCATATTTGACTTGAAAAAATTAGGTCTCCCAGCCACCTGGAAAAGAACTATTATACTTAGAAACCAGTTAATATAATGATAACCTAGCAGCATCTTAACCATGTCAGTTCTGACTGGTCTTTCATCTCACAGGTTCTTTGGATATTCCTCAGGAGAAGGTGCAGAAGGAGGAAAAGACTCCTCATACTCAAAGCACCATTCTGATTCCAGAACTGATATACAACATCGGGATATCACATGATTTTTCTCAAATCTCAAATGACCAGAAGCACATGGTGGAGACAGATAGCAGTGAATAGACCCGTCAGAAGTTGACGACTTTTCAAGATTTGTTCAGCTGGACTCAAATGCTGAACCTTGGAGACTATCAAATTATAAGGAAATTCTAAAACTGCAACACAAAATACTTAAAGTTTTGTCAGCCTTTGACATTGCACTGCACGTAATTGTGAAGTCCACCTCCAACATGAGTGCCTGCTGTTTGAGACCTTTAAATTGATGTGTGTTCCACCTGTGAGGAACACCAGAACCAAAAGGCATCTGTTTGCATGCTGGCTTTCACTGCTGGCCTGCACATTCAAAATACTACCTTGATGAAAACCATTCAATGCCTCACTAAAGTGCAACAAACTGCCCTCTAGCTGTTGACTAATGTGGAAGTGTGGGTGAACCATGAGAGGGAAGATGCAGAAAGGGGTAATGGAAGTGGGCATGCAGATGCATGTGGATCCCAGATACCAAGGCACAGATGGACTATCTGCTAAAAGCAACTGAACAGAATCCCTCATGCCCTGTTGAAGTGACGGGGTTAGAACGACATAGAAATGGTAAAAAAACAGAATGAATGAAAGATTAGTAGTTCTACAAAGGTATTCAGCACCTAGCAAGAGGTTACATTTCTGTTTCATCTCATCCATCATAAAATTTATTTTACCTTTCCTTTTCAGATCTTGCCCATTCTTCCTGCTGCTGACAAATAACCTTCTATCTTGTAAAACGTGGAAGGAAAAACGTTAGATGCAAACAGTAAATGTGCATGAAAGACATGCGTCAAATATGGGTTTATTTCATGCTGGAGCCTGGGTGGCTACCCAGTGTGTTCAGAATGTATATGTGAAATGTTTCCACAATCACAATTTAAATGAGGCGTGCCTGAATCCATACGTTCTGGGTATTGCTAACAGTGATGAGTGTGACTGCTAGTGGCCTCAGATCAATACATTCTTCCTCCAAAAGATGCGCTGTGATCACATCTTCCTGTCCTAGGCTCTGGTTCTTGCTGCTATGCAGTGCACTGTAGACCACATAAGTTCTGATACTCTGATAATGGAAAAGTGCCCCAGAACTGTCCAAGCTTCATTCGGTATTCCAATTGCTTGTTCTAAAATGGCTCAACTGGTAATGGAACTTTTGTCATATCTTATTTGGGTGTTAGTGTTTACGCTTCACGCTGGTGTTATCAGCCACATTTTTATCCAGGAACCCTTGTTTCCAGTGAGTCATTTGCTGACTCTGCTTCAAGATATGACTATCTCAGGGAGGCTTGACTTGACTTGCTGGATGGAAGTATTGTGGCATTTCCCTGGGAATCTTGCACAGATATTTATAATCTATTAGTGGTTTGCTGAAGAGGTGAACGTTGATGATAAAGACCTGCAAATGCCTAGATTAAGATTCTTGAGTAGATTTGTAGCTCAGGTTGTGGATGCTGTGGTTGGTTCACTCGCCGAGCTGGTTCGTTAGTTTGCAGGCGTTTCATTACCCTGCTGGGTAACGTCATCAGTGCAGCCTCCGATGAAGCGCTGTTGTGTTTTCCTACCTGGTATTTAAACTCTGGGATCTATAGGTAATCAAATCCAAATTTCCGGTTTTCCTTCACAGTGGTGTATATATAGGGTCTAGTTCTATGTGTTTGCTGATGGCCTTCTTGGTGGAGAATCAGGCCTCTAGGAATTCCTGTGCTTGTCCCTGTTTGACCTGTCCTGGGATTCTAATGTTGTCCCAATCGAATTGGCCAAGCAGCTATGTCCTTCAGGACCTGACCAGCTCAATCAGTAGTACTGCTGCTGAGCCACTCTTAGTGATGGACATTGAAATTCCCCCACCCAGAGTACATTTTTTGCCCTTGCCATCCTCAGTGCTTCCTGTAAGCGTTGTTCAACATGGAGGAGTACCAATTCATCAGCTGAGGAAGGATGGTGTATGGTAATTAAAGGAAGTTTCCTTGCCCATGTTTAACTTGAAGCTATGAGACTTCATGGGGTCTAGAGTCAATGTTGAGGGCTGCCAGAGCAACACACTCCTGACTCTTTACCACTGTGCTGCCACCTCTGCTGGGTATGTCCTGCTGGTGTGACAGGACATATTGAGAAATGTTGGTGTCTGGGAATGATTTGTTGTGCATGACTATGTCAGGCTGTTGCTTGATTAGTCTGTGAATCAACTCTCCAATTTTGGTACTAGCCCCAGATGTTAGTAAAGAGGGTTAGTAAGTATGCAGGGTCAACAGGGTTGTTTCTGCCATTGTCGTTTCTGGTGCGTAGGTCAATGCCAGTTGATCTGTCTAGTTTGATTTCTTTGAGACTTTGTAGCGATTGATGCAACTGAATGGCTTTCTAGGCCATTTCAGAGGGCAGTTGAGAGTCAACCACATTGCTGTCGGTCTGGAGTCACATGTAGGCCAGAACAGGTGAGAATGGCAGATTTCCTTCCCTGAAGGACATTAGTGAACCAAATGGATTTTTCTGATAATCGACAATGATGTCATGGTCATCAGTAGACTCTTGAAGCCAGGCTTTTTGGACCAGAGGTAGGGAAAGTACCACTGCACCACAAGAGCCTGCCCACACTTACCTTATATACTTGTCTTTTGACAACAGCTATCAAAGTGGCTGTTGGGCATTTAATTTCAGAATATGGCAGGTAACTGCTGTGAAAAGTGGGTGTGGTTTACCTTATTCTGGTAATTTTATGCTGTGAGAGAATGGTCGTCTAGAAGTATGGCTCTATATTTGAGGGAGACCTGAGCAGAATTGCCTCTCCAGACTGTGGACCTCCTTTCTTTTATGAGGGAAAAGGAAGTCCAGAGTGGCAGTTTACATGCAATTGCCATTACCTGAAAAATCTGGCACATGATTTTTAGAAGTGCTTCAGAGGAATACCATAGATAGATGAGCTAGATGGATCATAGCCTGCTTGTATGTGATACTGAAATAATATTACAATATGGGTAGAGAATCCATTTTACCCAGTGCTTAAACCAGTTCTTCTGTTGGTTTGCACATGAATGCATATAACAAAATTTCACATACAGATACAAATACAGATTTCTGTGGAGAATTTAGAATCCTGTTCTAGCTATTGCTTCCATGCCAGATTAGCACTTTCAAAAATGTACAAGAGCAGTAAAGATGGATTACTTTTCTTTGCAAGGAGATTTCAAGTTTTTCACTTTTCAGCATGATGGCACAAATGGAATGGAGAGCGGAACTTGTATTAAGAAGAACATCTGAGACTATCAAAATCTCCCACTCCATGTCTCAGCTAAACGCCGAGACTTATTTACACATATTCATGTATTTGCGAAAACTGTGTGGCTAAGAACATTTTCTGGTCTCAATTTGATGGTTTCAATTTAACTAAACAGTTTAAAGCTATTCCCATGCACGTACTGTGAATGCGCTCTTTGTCTGTGCCAACACAATTGTCAGAGTCATTTACACTTCTCATCTCTTCCAGATATGTTTTACAGCATTGCTGATGCTTGGGGAAAAGGGGAGGACCACTGCCAATTTGTTGATTCTTTTCTGGAAGGAAGGACGGGAACACATGAGTATCCAGAATCTCTGCCAATCATCCCAGGTAATCATAATAATCATGGAGAACAAATTCCAAAGCTTTTATGAGAAAATGGACTAATTGCACTGACCTGGTGTGTAAAAATATTCAGATATTGTAATGGCCAACACTGTTGAATATTTAACACTTGGGTCTTTCCATCTCTAACATTTAAACTGCTTTCTTTACCCATTGTTTGGAATTTTTGGTTAGTTATTCTCACTGAGTGTCACTAATTTATAATTTATTTGTTAAGACTGACTGACCCTTATCAGCATGCATAAATACATTTTATAGCTATGATTCTTAAATTATTTTATGAATGCCAGGTATAATTTGCCTGCACTACCATCATGATAATCTTTGCTAGCCAAATACTCACTACCTGGTGAACAACCCAAGACAGTGACTGCACACGTGATCTGATCCACTTAGTTTATGGTCTGGAATGGTTTATATGTAAATTTAGTAATATAAAGATGTATAGCTATATTTGTATGTCAGCATCAGTGGCATTGAAATTAAGTAAGTTTTTAGATAACCAGAGATAAAATAATGGTAAATCATTGTGAATCTTGTGGTAAATTTCAGATCAAACTTGATTGAGTTGGTTTAAACTCATTTCAATCAGGCCTTAATACCTCAATTGACTTCTTCAAAGTGTAAAACAAAATCTGAACTAAAAAAGGAAATGCTGGAAATAGTCAACATATTATAGAGTCATAGAGTCATACAGCATGGAAATAGACCCTTTGGTCCACCAGGCTGTGCTGATCATAATCCCAAACTAAACTAGTCCCACCTGCCTGCTCCTGGCCGATATCCCTCCAAATGTTTCCTTTTCATGTACTTACACAATTGTTTTTTAAACATTGTCTTGTACCCACATCCACCACTTCCTCAGGAAGTTCATTCCACATGCAAACCACCCTCTGTGTAAAAGATTTGCCCCTCGTGCCTTTTTTAAATCTCTCTCGTCTCACCTTAAAAATGTGCCTCCTAGTCTTGAAATCCCCCATCCTAGAGAAAAGACCACTACCATTATATACATTCTATACCCCTCATTATTTTATAAACTTCTATCAGGTCTCCTCTCAACCTCCTACACTCCTGTGAATAAAGTCCCAGCCTATCCAGCTTTTCTTTATAACTCAAGCCTTCGATACCCAGCAACATCCTGGTAAATCTCTTCTGAGCCTTCTCCAGCTTGATAATATCCTTCCTATAATTGGGCAACCAGAACTGGACACAGTATTCCATAAGAGGCCTCCCCAATGTGCTGTACAACTTCAACATGACCTCCCAACTGCTATACTCAAAGGACTGAGCAATGAAGGCAAGCGTGCCAAATGCCTTTTTAACCACCCAATCTACATGTGATGCACACTTCAAAGAATTATGTACCTGCACCCTTAAGTCTCTCTGTTCTACCCAAGGCCCTTCCATTAATAGTATAAGCCCGATCATTGTTTGTTGTACCAAAACACAATACCTCACATTTATCCAGATTGAACTCCATCTGCTATTTTTTAGCTCATTGACCCATTTGATCAAGATCCCTTTGTAATCTTAGAAAACCTTCTTCACTGTCTACTATGCCACCAACTTTGGTGTCATCCACAAACTTACTAACCCATGCCTCCTGTATTCTCATCTAAATCATTTATGTAAATGACAAACAAAAGAAGACCCAGAACCAAATCCTGTGGAACAACTGGTGACAGGCTTCCAGTCCAAAAAGTAACCCTCCACCACCACTCTCTGTCTCCTGCCATTAAGCCAGTTATGTGTTCAATTGGCAAGCTCACCCTGAACCCCATGTGACCTAACTTTACTATTTAGTTTACCATGCAAAACCTTGTCGAATGCTTTACTAAAGTCCAAGTGTACTGCACTGCCCTCATCAATCTTTTTGGTAACTTCGCCAAAAACTCAAGTTTATGAGACATGATTTTACTAACACAAAACCATGCTGACTATCCCTAATCAATTTTTGCCTCTCCAAATGTCCATAAATCCTAACTTAATAATTACCTCCAACAACTTAGCCACAACCGAAGTCAGACTCACAGGTCTATATTTCCTTGGTTTCTCCTTACAACTTTTCTTAAGCAAAGGTATATCATTATTCACCCTCCAGTCATCAGGCACCCCACCTGTAGTTATAGATGATGCAAATATTTTTGCAAGGGGTCTCAAAATTTCCTCCCTTACTTTCCACGACGTTTTGGGATACATTAGATCAGGTCCCACAGATTTACCCATCTTTATATTCTTTAAGACCCCCTGACCACCTCCTCCTGTAATGTGAACTGTTTTTAAACTATCAAAATTTATTTTCTCTACATTCTCTCGCTTCCATTTCTTTCTCCACAGTAAAAACTGGCACAAAATATTCATGTGGTACCTCTCCCATCTCCTGGGTTCAACATAAAGACAAGCACCTTGATCTTTAAAGGATCCTACACACTATCTAGTTACCCTCTTGCTCTTAACATTTTTGTAGAATCTCTTTGGATTAGCTAGGATCTGTGGAGAGAGAGAGAGAGAGACAGTTAACTTTTCAGATCTATGACTTCACATCAGAATTGGGAATGTTTAAACTTCCATAAGTTTTAAGCAGGTGAAATGGGGAAGGATGGAGACAATAAAAGTGGGGGTGTCTCTAATAGAGCGCTTGAATGACAAAACGGTCTTGTATATCTAAAAGAGTGCTGTATTACAGTCATATATTCAGAGTTATACAGCTGGATACAAATCCTTTGTTACAACTAGTCCAAGCCAACCATGTTCCTAAACTAAACTAGTACTACGTGCCTGAGTTTGGCCCATATTCCTCCAAGCCCTTCCTATTAATTCGCTTATCCAAATGTCTTTTAAACATTGTAACTGTACCTGCATCCACCTCTTCCTCTGGCAGTTCATTCTGCACACTGACTACTTTCTGTGGAAAAACATTGTCCATCGTGTCCTTTTTAAATCTTTCTCCTCTCATCTTAAAAATATGCCCCCTAGTTTTGAACTATCCCACCTTCGGGATAAGACCTTTGCTATTTAGTTGGACAAGTAAAGAAGTAAAAGATGGTTTGAGACAGTATGAATAGCAACATGATGAACAGCTAGCATCCCAGAATAAAGGAGAAAACTAGACTAAGATCAAAGCATGCAAAGAAAACAAAATTGCAGAGATTAAGGTCTAAAACTTTTGAATTCATTGTTAAGTTTGAAAGGTTGTGAAGTGTCTAAGCTAATGATGAGGTTCTGTTTCTCAACGTCTGTTGAGTTTCACTGGAGTACTTGGCTCACAACCACCTTCTCAAGGGCAAATCTGAAATGGGCGATATATGCTGGGCTGATGAGCACCACCATATCCCGTAAAATGAATAAATAAACACTGCGGGAGGCTGAGTCCAAAGATGTGTTTTGTTTCAGATTTGTAGCATCTGCATTTTGCTTTAACAAAATTTTAAAAATCAATAAATAATAAGAAATTTTAAAAATCACTTAAAAAAATCAAATTTAATACTATGTTAATTCGATAACTGATCTGTGATATGAATTTTTTTTCAGGTTATTATCGGAGTTATCGCCAAGAGCCAGTGTCATTTGGCCTCATTGGTGGATTTGGGAAATTTGGTGGGACATCCAATTATTACGTGGGATGGTATGAATGTGGTGTACCTATTCCTGGAAAATGGTAATGAAATTGTCCTTTGAAGTTGCTCATGAAAGATTTAACTACTCAATTCACATTTGAGCTGAATTAACAGAGGACTGAGACGGTACCTTGTTCTTGAATACTGGACAATGTGTCGAATTATCAAGATTATTTTCACATGATTTCAAAGACTCTTTCTTCCACAATCTTACTGGAATAAATGACATATCCTCTTTAATACAATATATACATGGAGGACTAGGGCTTAAAATAAACATGCCTGATATCATTGCACTCGTAGTGGTTCCATTTTCTACAGTAGGTAAAGAAATGGTGAAAGAATCATCAAATCGAAGCTCTGCTGACATGAGACAAAAAGCCCTCTTGAAATTCCATCTGGGCATTTGAACAGCCTCTGTGAACTGCACTTAATGCAAAATCATCAAGTCTTCCAAGATAAATCTCTACCAGGGTATTGAACTGAAAGATTTTGTCCAAAATCACATTGGGCTAGGAGAGGAAATTCAACATGTTTTATAAAATAGTTTCCTTTCAAAGTTGCCACTGTTGAACTTGGCAACATGGCAGATGATCTATGCACATCAGTAAGTTTTCCGAGATTAATATTAATATACTACATAGGTTTTAAAATGGTAAGTCTCAGGCAACTCGTGCATCTCTGTTCCCTGCAATGCCAGGTTGCATACATGCTGTACTTAACTCTTTTTTTTTCTGGACTTGCAAAACAACTTAGCCCATTATAAGCCTATATTGAGCATATTATGAAGATCTGTATCCAAATGCATCACTAGCTAGTGATGAAACCAGTTGGATTTGGCATGACATCATTACTCTTCACCAATCTGCAATAGAAACCCATTTTTGCATGCCACTCTTGATAACGTACCTCGACAGTGCTAATTTTTAACCTGCACTTTCTAACTAACTTACAAAGTTCAAAGTATTCAAGAAATATTTTTCTCACATCTGTAAAATCTATTACCTTGGAAGGAATTCAAGAAAAGTATTTTTTATGAAAACAAAATTCTCTGGATAGGTTAGATTTAAACCATTTCACCAGGGTAAAGGGACTTCTGCTTAATTTATTTTTGCACAGTTCCTTAGTGCATTGTTTTCTTGTGTTTGTGCAGTATTGTAAAATACAGTTTTTTGCGCAGGCGCACCGCAATAGATTTATGCTGTTTTGAAACAGTACCATATGGAACAGTGCAGTGAAATAGGATCAGCTTTAACTCCTTGTCAGCTAAACCACTGCGCTGGCGCAAATAAATGCAACATTTGAGTGAATTTGCTAATTGCAAGTTCCTGGCAAGTAGCTACACTTCAAGGGAGTGCATTCAGCGATAGAGCAACATCACTGTAGTGCTTGTTTTCCCATTTCAACATTTTAAAGCATGGCTTCTCATTGGAAGCATTGAATCAGGGAATTTAGTCTACTATCCTGATGTGCATTTTATTAAATGTTATTTTGATTAAATACGCAATGTAAATTCCTTTAAAAATAGAAATCTTTTCTTATCTAACGTGTACTTTATAGTAAAAAGATCAGTTTAAAAAGCATATTTAAATGGAATTTGGGAATTTCAAACACAAGCTTTTTCTGCTTTTCCAACTTGTACATAGTATAGCTTTGTAATCATAACCACACATTTGACCAATCATTGTGCCAAATCTGCTGTTACTCCGTTGCATCTGAAAAATTTTGTGCTTTAAAAAAAATGAGAAAATCACTGAAAATTTTAGTTTTCATGTTAGATCAAAGAAAAAGAGCTTTAATTATAAACAGCACCTAAGCAATGAATCGCTGCAATTGGCCATTATATCAATGCAGTCTTGGGTTTGGTAAGCAGCCTACATATGTTATCAGAAATGTATCTTACGCTTTGTCTCTGATCATTGTATTGATATAACACTACTTAAACTTGTTTTGCATCACAACAGTTTGTGTGTCAAGATTGTCTTTCATTTGATCAACAATATTCAACAGCATTTCTAATTCCAAGGCCTGGATTTTGACTTGCTTGATCATAAGACCGTGACCTACCAGAGTGAGTCAGAAAGGCATGGGAACCTGGAAGTCAGAAATCTATTGCAAGCTGTGAAATTTAAATGCCACAGCCTTTGCATAATATTGTTACTGGTTGGTTTATGGCCTGCAAAGCTGCCTGGTTGATGGACTTCACTTCCAGTTGGAATGGAAACTGATCAGTGAAGGTAGCAGGGCTAGGTATATCTGTGCCTGAGCTATTGGAGATATTGTGGAGGATAAGGGGCCATGTGAAGAGTGTGGTCAGTCAAAAGATGGGGGTGGATAGGGGATGGTCAGTCTCCCCACTGGAGCAAGTTTCCCAAGGAGACTGCAGATTTCAGGTTCACTTGGAGGAGAAGTCAAAGACCTGGGGAGGGATAGACCTCTGAAAAAGAACAACATATGTATTGAAGGCCTTAACGGGAAAGTCAAAGGCCTTATGAGATACAGGCCAGGGCTATGCTTTGCTCGCAGAAGAGACCCTGAGCTACCGGTTGTACACCACTTTAACACACCACCCTGTTCACTCACCTGTATCTCCATCCTTGGCTTCCTGCGTTGTTCCAGTGAAGCTCAACGCAAGCTGGAAGAACAACACCTCAATTTCTGCTTGGGGACCCTGCAGACCTCCGGACTCAATATCGAGTTCAATAATTTTAGGGCCTAAACTCTCCCATATCCTAGACCCCCACCCAACACACCAGGCCTTGTTATCACATAGCCTGCCATTACACACTACCTATTGCTAGTCACCTAACAGTCCCCATTAACAACTATTCACCCTCCTAGCCAGATCGTTATCAACTCCTTTGTCTATCTAACTGCTCTTCTCTGTCTTTGGGCTCCATCCTTTATCCTATCGTTTACTCCCTACCCCATCCCCCTCCCTATTTTCTGCAAATAAACCAACATTTTCCCAGCTACCATCTGAGGAAGGATCACCGGACCTGAAACGTTAACTGACTTTTTCTTCACAGATGCTGCCAGACCTGCTGAACCTCCAGCAAGTTCTGTTTTTGTTCCTGATTTACAGCATCCGTAGTTCTTTCAGTTTTGATCAATACTGCAACGCCCGTTTGTCAACACATCACTTCCTGCCAGACATTGTCCCTATTGCGAGTGTGGAATAATTAAATTTACTCTTGTGTAACCCCTGTATTAATCCATTTCATTCCAGCATAACCTACAATTATACCATTGTCACCTGCTGAACCTTATCTGTAACTGTATATAAGTAGCTATTGATTAACTATTGTACAAAATATGCCTGTTTTGTATAATTATGCTGTATGAAAAGGGTTTTGAATTGGATAGGCCATCCTTTTTGTCTGTCCCTCGAGTGCAAGGATTCATAAATCATTAAGCTTATGTTACCTACTTTTCCCTGCCATATTTAGAAACAATATATTACATTTTCTTTCTGTTTCTATTGGATATTTATAAATTGTAACGTATGGCTACAGAATTGGGTCTACAGTACTCATTCCGATTTTTTTAAACTGTCAAAAATCAGAGGATCTGTGATGTAGTGGGTTTGTGTGTGTGCTTTTTGTCCACCTGTGACTTGTACCACGTAATATTTGAAGTAAAACTACTATGAGTATTTTTTTTGATGTTTAAGATAATATCAAACTGGCAGAATTATAAGGGAGAACATTAGTTATAGTGGGTGAATTAGTTTGTAAATCAATTAGAAGCTATGAGAGACTCAGCTGGGTAACTTTTTCTGCTAGAGAGCAACATCTCTTAAAACACTCACTATATTATTATTATTGTTACACCAGAGTGTTAGAAGACAGCTTAAAACAACTATAAATGCAGTGCTTTGGTGAGGACATTGCAGTGACAATTATGATCTTGTTTTTTTTTATTATTCATTTCCATCATCCAATCTGAGACCAAGTGAAATATTTCAATGAATGAAATTAATCCATGGCATAGTTTAAGATCTTGTATCTAGTGAGTTGGGCATGGTACAGGCACTTACACACTGGTATTCTTGGTGGAAATCTTACTGTACAGTAAAAGGGGAGAACCACGTACCTTGCAACCTCATGTAATTTTCTGTATTCTGCACTCCCCTATAGGAGGAAAGAATCTACAAGCTGAAACATAGTCTCACAAACCTTACTTTGGTGTCTTATCAAAATGGAAAGTTGATGTGTCATCATGTATGTTATGTACTCTAATGTTAATGTTTACTTTATAATGTTCATCAAATGGTAGATCGACAACCATGGGGATGGCTGCCTTGTTGCTGAATCAGTATTTCCACTGTTCAAGCATCTCTTCAGATTCCAATTGATTATTCCTGAGGAAGTGAAAAATTGTCAATGCAGTATGTAGCTTTTACTTCCCTTCATGTTCAAGTGCGTATGTGAGTGAAAGAGAGATTTGTTTACAGAAGGGACATTCAGCTATGGGCAAAAATAAAACATTTGCTGGGACACACCCTGCATTCAGTTTCATCCCATAACAATAGCCAATACAGGATATTTACTCCTTGTATCATCCTATTAATGTCCAAATTTAACATCAAATTATGGGCACTCATTTTGAATTTAGAAAGCACCATTTGTGAAGCTGCAGCCAAAAATGTTAAAAGTAAACTTTTACAAGAGCACTTATGTACTTGTGAATCATCCAATCCATTGTTAAATCTTCTCAGACATTCCCCAAAACCATTGTATACTTTAACACTATGTTATGGTATATATTTCCCAAAGCTCTGAAGGCTGAGGTTTCTACAATGCTGGGGAGAGTATGAAGTTCAGCCGGTAAAATACAGCTGAGGGGACAGGATCAATGTAAACCGATTTCTTGCCATTGTCCACAGTGAGCAACCAGAATCTCCATCTGAATGACAAGCTTGATTTTAATTTGAAGGTGTTCGAAGGCAAAGCATGAATGCCAGTTTTCCGAGCTACTATCAGTTCTGATAGAATCATTGGACTTGAAGCATTAACTCTGCTTTCTTCCTACAGATGCTGCCAGACGTGCTGAATTTTGCCAGCAATTTCTGTTTTTGAAACACACAGCTCTCCTTTTTAATATGAACCACTGGTTGCTGAGCAATGATTGCAGGAAGGACATTGCTGCTGCTTCAATCACATAAACCGCCTTTCACTAGTATCAAATGTTTCTGATAATCTGCAGTGAATATAGATCATTTTTTTAAAATCAATTATTCCTGGATTTGTGCATTCAAATCGTGGAAAACAGAAACAAGGTGATCAAAGAAGGAGGTTGTGCTTTTTAGAAATGGTGAGGGAACTGGGGAGAGGGAGGGAAATTGGAAATGAAGTTTCCCTGTAATGACATCAACCATGACAACCTTGAGGGGAGCAAAGACTCATGGAATTGTCTGTAGAGACAAGATGCAAAGCAGCAAAGATTCCTTGGGCACCCTAGCAGTATTCTGTGGTTAAAAACAGCTGGATATGAAATGACTCTAAGGTTTCAATGGAAACAGAATCTGATGAATAACTGAGTTTTTGAATTTAAATATACATTACATTAAAATGAATATTCTTAAGGGATCAGAACCAGGAAGATCCACAAAACATCTTTTCTTTTGACATAAGTAATTATACACCTATTAATCATTAAAGTTTACAGTAACATCACATTTACAGGATTAGGTAAAAGATTTTACTTTACTTGGCTCATTTTAGAATTTATATAACAATAAACAGAAACACTGTCCAACTGCACACAATGGATTTTATAACTCCGTGTCATTCTTCATGGCCTCTTTTTAATTTGCAGAATTTTAATCCAGCCATTTTTGCAGCTTCTAACATGTACCAAAATTTCTGCTTAACTATATTAAAATATGATCGATTTGGTAAAGTTAAAATAATGTAAAATTGCGACTGCAAAGAGAATTTTGCTGTATTAATAATGATGTTCATTAGAAAGCATTACTTGTAATTTCAGACACCTTTCTAACAGTATTAAGCAAATAACATATTGCTTCATTGAATCTTGAACTTATAAACAAAACCAGTCTGTACTGACTGCTATTATATTTGCAATGGCATCCCAAAGAGACATCAGCTCGCTGGTGGATTGTGCTGTCTTTCTGGGGAGGCAAATTTGTCTGTGTGTGCTGTGGACACCATGCTCAATTTGACAACAGATCTGGAAGATTTAACATGCTGGGGTCGCCAACTTGACGGGATTGATCTAGAGAAGACGGCCCCCATATGTGGCAGAGTCCTAAACATGAGACAGTCACAATTAATCCAATGAAGAATTCAGGAGAAACATCTTCACCCAGAGATTGAGGAGAAAATGGAACTCACTATCACAGAAAATGATTGAGGTGACCAATGCTGGTACGTTGAAGGGAGGGTGGATGTACAGGAGGGCAAAGAGTAAGGTGATGGGTGGAAAATGAAGCACTCTGAGAGGAGACTCAAATGGAGGACAAACACCAGCATACAGCAGAAGGGCCATATGGCTTGATTCTGTACTGGAAATAGATTGTTATTAGTCAATAATGGGAAACAGTTTATAAGATTTGACATAACAAGGTGTAGAGCTGGATG